TTGGTACTTGGTGATTGGTGAGGGTGATGGTGATGAAAGTGATGATCGGTAAAAGGATGGTAACCAGATGGGGAGGATAATGATGATGGTGATGAACGAACGATGAATGGAGACAGTGGCTATGTGGTGGGCGAAGAAGCTGGTGGTGATGGTGGCTGAAATTTGGGAGGTTCTAGAAGGAGAAAGATCTGGAGCCCTTCTGTTTCCTTTTTCGTTTTTCTTTTTTTTTTTTCATTTAATTTCAGGGAAGATCACCTCCTTACCGAAATTTCAAACCAACAGTGTCGCGATGCAGAAATTGGTTACGTACGCCTTCGAAGTATATTTAAATGAAATGGGGATTAGGGTTTCTGAAGGAAGTTGATGAATTGGGATTAGGTTGGGACAATAAATGGGGTCAATGAAATGGGAAAGGGGTGACACGGTGTAAAAAAAAAAATGATGGATGGTACACATCAACCTCTAATGTGCAAATAGTTGACATGCTATCATGGGTTAAACTGAAATATTTATGATAATGTTAGCAGTTAAATAATGGGTGTATTAGGTCAATTAATAATTTTGGAGGGCAAATGTTTTTTTATTTTTGTGGGGTGGATTTGTCTTTACTCATCTTCTTTAAGGGGTGATTTGAAGGTTCTACCTTAAAGCTTAGAACTATTTTGATAACAAAGATTAAAATTTAAGAGTAATTTTAACATTTTTTAAAATTAAAAAATAATTTTAATATAAATCTAAATGTTAAAAGATTAATTAGTATTTTAACCAAAAGCGACCTTTTCCTCCAACAATTTTCTAAACTTTAGAGAGAATAAACGACTCCATTGCCTATTTACAAAATTTTTTTAAAAAAAAAAGCTTATAAACAACAAAAACAAAAAAGCTCTACCAAATAGGCTTAAAGGGATTGTCTTGTTAAATTTTTTTCTTTGAAGAAACTTTCTTTATCTTTAAGTAGATGATTGTTAATTTATTATCTATAATTCACTCACACATAGGTCTACGTTATTGACTTTGGCCTGGCTAAGAAATATAGAAACAACCAGGTATGTTTTGTAGAAAGTGGAGAAAGAGTGGAGCATACAGTGTGGAGAGTAAAGAGTATGAGATGAAAAGTAAAGCGATGTCATCCCATCCCACCACTTCCTCATTCCTAACCATTGAGCCATCTTAATTGACCATTGACAAAGCCTCATTGTTTTCATCACCAACCCTCAGCACCTACTGTGACAAACTCGTCGTCTCCATCACCAACCCGTAGCACCTACCATGGCAAACTCATTGTCTTTATCACCAACCCTTAACACCTACATGACAAACTCATTGGCCATTCCCACACCCTCGTCTCTGTTGACTCAATGCACTCCAAGAGGGGGGGTGAATTGGAGTTAGAGAATTTTCACCTCTTTGCAACCACCAAATAAAAATTAAAGAGAGAGTTGAGAAGAAGAGCTTGCACAATGATTTTATAGAGGTTCGGTCCAACCACTTGGAGCTTGGTCCTCTACCTTGGCTTCACTCACCAAGGATTTCCTCCACACTCTCCACTAACAAAAACAATGGTGGCTTAAAGGAGCCACTCAATCATTTTACAACAAGATGAGTATATCTCTCAAACCTCACCCTTTTACAATGTAAACCCCACAAATCCTCTCTACAGATCACTCTTGAAGGAATTAACACACCCCCAAGATCACTCACTAATAGCACAAGAAGAGGATTACAAACAAAGATCTCTCAAAAATCAAAAACTCAAGTTAAAGCTCATGTAGGTAGGTAAAGATATTCAATACAATGCTCTCTAAACTTCTTTATATCTGTTACCAACCATATTTATAGCCCCTTGCTCGAAAATAGCCGTTTCTAGCCGTTAGAGGTCATTAAATGCTCTGCAGGACGCAAAAGTCGAGTTGCAGAATTGTCAGGAGAGTCGGCTTAACTTCCTAAAGCCGGCTCTATAAAGTCAGCTTACACTTTCAGAGTCGGCTATCCGGGTTTGCAGACCATTCTGTTTTCCTCGAGAGTCGATTGCAAAACTTTAAGCCAGCTTTGGAACTTCGACTTTAAATACATTAAATATATTCTTCAAACAAGTCGACCGTTGTGCATTAAATGCGCCCTCATAGCCGGTTCTACGTCTTTTCTCCACACGCGCCAAACAACGAACTTTTAAATCTTTACCTGTAGAGTCGGCTGCAGCTTCTAGAGCCGGCTTTCTGCAGATATTCAAGCCTTTCTGGTCCATTTTTAAGTCCAGTCCAAGTTTACTTATTTTGCAATCTTTTGACATTTTAACTACACACTTAAATGAACCAATTAGTCACTCAAATGTGTTTTGTAATTATCAAAATCATAGGTACAACAGTCTCTCAATCATTTATTCCACCTTCTTCAAAACCTCCACAAAACACAGCCAATAACTTATGCTCTCTTCTTTTTGAACCCCCCTTAACTATTGCCGTTCCAACTTCCCCGACCTTGCTATGTTTACTGAAACCTCTATCCACTCCTCTATCAACTACTCAACAAAAGAGAATGTCCTCATCATCTCCCTCATACTCGAGGACAAAGAGTGCCTTTACTGGCCACATCACCTCAATGTGACTGTTAAGCTATTTAGGCCTTCAATGGAGTTTGGTTATGTAGTTCAGAAGCTTGAGCAAGCATGGAGCTTTGCAAATGACTTCGATGTTATTGACCTTGATAAGGGCTTTCTCCTTATTAAGCTATCCTCAGAAGAAGACTTTTCTACCATCTTAAAGCAAGGACCATGGTTTATTGGTGACCAATTTCTCTTTATCTAACATTGGGTCCTAAAGTTTAGACTTGAATTGGCAATGCCCTTAACAACCATTGTTTGGCTGCACTTACCCCAATTACTAATTGAATTATTCTATCAGGATATCCTTTAACAAATTGGGAACACTCTTGGCTCATTCCTCAAGATTGATGCCACTACACTTGCAGGTTCTAGAGGGAGGTTTGCATGTCTTTGTGTTGAATTCAACCTTCAACAAACGTTACCTTCTTCACTGGTCATTGATGGTTTCACCCAAAAAATTATTTATGAAGGAATATAGTCTTTCTATATTTCTTGTGGTCATTTGGGGTATAAAAAACCCCAATGCCCAAGATTGCTCATGGCTAATCGTGAAAAATCCATCCTTTATTGTCATAAACCACTCTTCAGGTGGCCTATATGGTGAATGATTCCTTGTTACCAAGAAATGTGGTTGGCAATGATCAAAGAATATCTCACCACCAATGGCTAACCACGCTAAAATAGGTGCTGCTAGCAAAAGTACAGTTTAAAGTTGAATTCAAAATTCAAACCCAAGTGAGGCCCAACATTGCCCTTTGGTTTCTACACTTATTCTAAGAATCCTAACTAAATCAAAAACCCCAATTGTTGACTTGAGTAAGTCCAACTCTTCACCTTCACCCTTCTTCCCCCTAACCATTTCTAGTTTTCCATACCTCCAACCTCGGTTATGCCACCTGCACCTCTACTCCATTCCACCTTGATCAATTTTGCTACCGTTGATGTTTCACAAATCCAAGCTTCTAACACATCCCTAGACCCCATACTGAGAATCCTTTTGATTCTCATCCCATTCTAGTCACTTGCCAAAACAATGCTTAAACCCATGGTCCCTGCTCTAATACTTCTATTAACCCACATTATTCTAGTTAATTAATCATTCATTCTCACTCGAAACCCCCACTTCCAAACTATGGCAAACCAAACACTTCTATCATCAACGAGGTTCCCAATCTATAGTCTCCTAAGAGAGGATCAAATCCGATTTTGCCTCAACTTAAAGGAGATGAGAGAATATCAAAGGGGATTCAAGACCACATGGAATGCTCTACCATTAGAATTCATGAACTACCCTTCAGTTGATTACCTTAAGGAGAAGTTCTTTATCTTAAAGAGCTCCCTAGCTTATTTGTACCAACTTCAAATTCCAGTAGTGAGTCTACCTAAACTGGAAACCTTCCACCTACGTACACAAATGCTCTCCTTTCAATCTCTAAACCTACAAATAATGAGGAAGTCCTACACTAGCCATGATTTACACATGTTGGCTTTGTTTTCATAATCACTATGAAATAGATGCCAATGGAGTATGATCTACTTAGAATCTAAAGCTTGTACTCAAATCTATGGCTCTCAAAGACATTCGCCTTGGAGATGGCAAATCAGATGATGTACGAGGTTGTCACTACAACTTATAAAACCCACCATATGGTGAACCATCCAATCAAGATCTAAGTACACCTAAATAATAATTTCATTGCCTTAGTTTGAGCAATCTACCCAATAAATCACATGCACATCTACATTAGGTTCATAAATCTACTCATAATAAAGGAAGTAGGAATGGACTTAAAACTCGCCTAGAAAGAAACCACAAAGGTTTGGAAGAGGGCAAATTAGACTCCTCGGGGTTGGATGCCACTCAACTCACAACTTAGGTCCTTGATGTCATTAAATTTCCTTGAACTTAATGCTATGTCTATCTTATACTTGAATGTTCGAGGAGTAGGAAACCTAGCTTTTCTACATAATATTCATGACCTTGTAGATAGATTTAGTCCTAGCTTACTCATTTTATCAAAAACCTGTGTTGATTGACATCTTGCCGAGGGGATTATAAACTAAATCGGAGTTGGTTTTGATGGCAAGTACTAGGTGGAACCCATTTGTTATAGTGGTGACATATAGGTATTATGGAGCAATGACTTTGTGCATTTGTCTATTCGCTTTACAACAGCATAGGATGTACATGTTATTGTACGGCCACTTAACTCTACTGTTAGTTAGTTGCTTTCAGCTATCTACACACAAGTCCTTAATTCGCTAATAGGAAAATACTGTGGGATAATTTATGTGATGTCTCTATTGCCATATCTACACTTAACTTTCCATGGCTTATGAATGGGGATTTTAATGAAAAATTGACTAACACTAACAAAAGTGGTGGAAATCTCATATCTCAAGTTGAAGCCAAGGCTTTTAAAAACTCCCTAAATAACTATAACGTGCTACACCTGGGGTTTGTTGAGCCAAAATTTACTTGGTCCAATAAAAGGCCTATCCCACACCTTATTTAAGCAAGGCTTGATAAAGATTTTGCAAACCTTTCTTAAACCTTCCTCCATCCTCATGCTTCAATTAAACACCTCCCAAAAGCTCACTCAGACTATTGCCTTATCTTCCTCTCCCTTTCAAACCATCCTCTTCCCTATAACAATCCTTTTCACTTCCAAACTATGTTACCACACCACCCCGATTTCCTGTAGCTT